TTAAGAAACTAACGGTATCTAGGGCAGAGTTTGAGCACATGCTCGAACTTGGAATAATCCGCCCTTCCGACAGCCCTTGGTCTTCCCCCATGCAGATGGTCCCCAAGAAATCTGGTAACTGGTGCCATTGCAATGAGTACCGCGCTCTCAATCGGCTAACCATCCCAGATAGGTATCCCGTACCACGCAGGCAGGGACTTACCGCATGTCGCACGGGTAAGACGATCTTCAGCAAGATCCATCTGGTTCGCTCCTATCACCAGATGCCACTAGAAGAAAATGACATTCCTATAAAGCCGTTACCACTGCTTATGGCCTGTTTGAATAATTAAGAATGCCAGTAGAACTGTGCAACACCGCGCAAACCTTCCGACGCCTTATCCACGATGTCACACGTGGCCTAGTTTTGTCTTCTTCCTACCACGATGTTATTTTAGTAGCCAGTTCACAGGAACAAGAGCACCTCTAGCGCCCTCGAACTCTCTTCCAGCGCTTGACCCAACACTGTGTCACAGTCAACCCGACTAAGTGCGAACCCAGCAAATCAACGGTAGAATTGCTAGGCCACCACGTTTCATCGTCTGCTATCGAAGTCCTTCCTGATAAGATCCAGGTAATCAAAGACTTCCTAGCTCCGATTTCGTTCAAGCACCTCCGTTGATTTTGTGGTTTGATCAAGGGCTATTGATACTTCATACAGCGCTGCGTTCAGTTTATGCAACCTCTGACTGACCTACTCAGAGAGATGCGTGACATTCCGGCGATCTCAATTTCAGCATCAGTCTCCTCTTGGTGTAACCGAATTTCGGTGATAGAAATTAGGTCCCAAGCATTCGCGCCTGACGTAGCCGAACTTCGATAAGTTTACTGCGGTGCCCTTGGGCGTTAGTGTACATAAATGAAAGTTTCTCAGATTTAAGCAATGTTTCGGAGGTTGCGCAACTCATACGGGAAGTTTCGCCGACCAATGAGTGGCCTGAGAATAATTGTTTTTTCGGTGTGTGTTTGGAGAAGGGTTTAACGTCTTATTCCTCCTCCAGGGAGTTAGTCCCGTGTCTAATCTTTCATGTACAGTGTAAGGTGTCTGGTCAGCATTATCTTCTACAGGTTGTATGGGCTAATTAGACACACTACTGGTGCACCCTTCTTTTATAGATCCAATCTCATTTGGTTCTTTGAGTTACCTATCATCTCTGGGAGGCATATCGCTGACTGTCTTCAGCCGAAGCTCAGATGGCAGCCTGAAACGAAATATGTACCAGCTTTTTAACATCCGTTCTACCATATGTTTTGACTGAAGAACCACCTTCAACACTCTCCGGCCACCACCTTTGTAGTTCGGTGAGGTACGCAGTCGTGACACGGATTTCGCTAACACATCATCCAAGCACAGTGTCCCAGGAATATAACACCACTGTTCTTTAGCATTTGTTATTATTTCATGCTCATCACATGCTTCAGTTTCAGGAACATCGTGAAGAACTATGGTTCTGGTTGAAGTTTTTTTCGGTACTCCCTAAGGTGCAGTTAGCTGCATAACGCTCGCCTCATGGGATGTCTGGAAATATACGGATGGAGCAGTGTTCATTCCTGAGACTATCTGTCGATAGTTGTACTGATTCTAATTCAAGGATGGAGTTCAGCACAACGCGCTAAACTCTTGGCTCACCGAAATGCTTAGAGTTGGGGTGTCGCGTAATACGCCCTACATGTACAGGTTTCAGTACTACTCCGATTAGATTACTAATAATATCCCACTGGCTGAGATCATCCAACTGCCTGCCTCTAATTGTTTTGGACTTTGATTCTGGGATATTGGAGCACAGTACGCTCGGTACAGGTAGTTATTTCTTTACACCTTTCGACATGTCGCTATTAGTGATTAAAGTATTTGGAGATGTACCGCAGGAAACCGGTGGTGCTTGCACTAGAAAACCCCGTTACGCTCCGCAGTTTCCCATCTAGTTGGGGGTGATGCTAATTTTGAATGACGGCTGTTTTTGGAAGCAGCCGAAATCCAACATTAGCTAGTACTTCCGCTTTTCCTACGCACGCCGTCGTGAGACTGGAAGTAGCGCTACGTGTAAATACTCTGCTCGAACTGAGAACCGCCTTAGTCACATGTGAGCCACGTGGAGTATTGGAACAGTTGTTGATGTTCTGGGCTCATGCTATCCCGTTGCTTATGGTGTTACCAGCCGTTCTTCTCTGGCTAGGAGCAGCTCTTAGGGGGGAGGACTGAGTTGCACAGCCGCTTTGCTTACCTCAACCGTAGTGATTTTGGCGGTCACCATTTCTTCAAACTTGGCGAGTAGCTGGTCGTATTTCTGAGATAATAATAACACGCTTTTTATCAGGGGGTCAAATGTGCATTCCACCTAGAACCGTAGAGAATCTGGTTTGTTTACTAACCTGGCCTGACTAGATTTAACTCGAAGGCATCTCGTATGGAAAAACTCGCAACACTTGCGGCACAGAATACCCCCTTAACAAGTTTGGAACATGACCCACACAGGTCTTTAGACTGTAGCACACTGGGACATCACGACTGCTGAGGAAATGTTACGAACCATTTGACAGACTCCCGCTCTATGATAACATGTTTTCTGTTACTGACATTGTCGGCAAGGGCACAGTGTTTACCTTGCGTTTGTGTGCTCACAGGCTGTCCTCTCTGACGTGCCAGTCGAATGTGTCAGCGTGAAGGTGGGGCTGATTACACGAGGGTATGATTGCGAATTTTCGTGCTTAAGCCTATGGGTCGTGCCGGGTGAATTTGCCTTGAGACCTGTAGTTGCTCCAAGCAATGTTGGCTTTGTACGAGTGACAAGTTGTTCGAAAACCGTTGAAATGGTCTATCAAGTGAGAGCAAACTATGTCTCCGATGATTGGCACTTGCATATTAGTGAAGCACTTCGCGGAATTTATAAATCAGGTAAATGTAGAATGCACTGGAGTGTACTCGAAAATATGGTGTCACAAGGTGGGGCTTTTAAAAGCACGACGAATAAGTATGTATCCAAAGGTGTCCGACCAAATGCTGTTGAGACGCAGTGAAAAAGCACGATTACCCAAAGCAGCGATTTGCGCACGCGTTCGCTCAAGGTCACAACACGATCACTAGTTAAGTGCTCCATACGTGAGGAGCTTGCGATTAAGCTGTCGTCGAGGTAGACAAAAGCGAAGCTTAGGCCGTGACAAACTTGGCCGATAAGGCACAGAACGTTTGTGCAGCATTCTTTAGACAAAGTGGCATGCGCAGCAACTCAAACAAACCATATGGTGGTTTCGCAGCAGTTTTAGCGATGTCCGCTTCGACTGCCGGAATTTGGTTGTAAGGGCGCACCAAGTCCATTTTACTGAAAATGTTTTCACCTGCCAGACTAGCAGTGAGGTCCAGGATACGTGGGATTGCATAGCGATCGGGCGTGCTTACGATGTTTACAGATCGATAATCGCCACAAGAACGCCAGTCCCCCATAGTCTGTTTCGGAACCATGTGGAGGGGTGATGCCCATCGCAATGAGGCTGGACCTTGCCGTGGTTTGTGTGCTTCAGCAATCCACTGAGCTATGCTGGGTGGTGCTTTTGCACATTCAGAGGCACTCATACCAGATTGGTCAATGGTCAGAGGCCAGACAAACTCAACCTCCTGTTCCTCCAGGTTGGGGGTTGGAATAAGGGTGGCTCCTTATTCCTTAAAACGGGCTCTTTGCAGCCCAACGCCAAACCCGCTGCTTTGTGGTCAGGTTTTTGAACCAAAGGTTTTGGCTGAGAACCCTAATCGTTCTCCTGTCTAGGCCTGGGCAAACTGACAGTATCCTGCCCACGCCATACAATGAATCTTTCCTCAAACAATTTCTTGATGCTGTGGCCACCGCAGAGGATAATCAACCGTGCCCTATCTGTTGCATCGAGCAGGGTGGGTAAGGGTTTGGATGCTACTGCTCAAGCCTTCCGGTCTTCTTATTCCTCCTCTTGCGCTTTTCACCCTTATCGTCCCGTTCCAGCTTCACTTACTTCCCCCTAGTTTTCAACCACCCGATTCTTGGCCCTCCCCCAACATGCTTTGCTAGGCATTTATCTTCTAATTTCAGCGCACGTGCTAACGCAGAGCCTCGTCCCGTCCTTGGTCAACAAGCTTATGTCCAATAAAACGGTCCATTCCAGTTCATGGGCTTCCATTTGGAGCCCTCGATCCTCCTTCCGATTGGCATGCCTCAAGGTACGCACATCACTACAGATCAGCCAACAGGCAACACTTGTCCGAACATTGGAGACCCTCTCAATCGATATCTGTTGCTTATCGGAGAGCCGCCTGCAAGACTCGAGCCCTGTGCTCACTCTGCGATCCCTTTCAGGTGACACAAGCAGTGTTTTCTCATTGCGCCTATACGGTAACGATGCAGCTTCGACCACCAGCCAAGCTGATGGTGGCATTGCCCTGAGTTCCAGGGCTGAAGCTGCTCTGGTTGATTGGCTTCCAATCAGTAGCCGGATGTGTGAGGTCCGATTGGTTGGCTCGTTTAAAGCTTCGAAGTCGCGCGAAACCAATAGGTGTCTATTCATCATCGCTGCCTACGCAACCACAAACTATAGCGATGATCCGGTAAAAAACGACTTTTACCGCCAACTGACCCAGCTCCTTCGCCATAGAAGAAGCACAGACACTGTTGTGCTGGCTGGGGATTTTGAACGCGCAAGTTGGAAAGTTGTCCACTGATGAAATGCATCAGGGCGGTCAGCACAGTGTAGGCTCCCGTAATGATAACGGTGTGCGGTTACTTCCTTTGTGTGAAGATGCTCACTTATTTCTTGAGAGCAATAACTTCCGACACAGCACCCGCCGGAGGGTGACTTGGCGCCCACCAGCCTCGAACCAGCCTTGGACGCAGATCGATCACATTGATATTAGTTACCGCTGGAGAGGCTGCATCCAGAAATGTCGCTCGATTGGGAGCACATGTGTGGACACCGATCATACACCTTCATGTGCTGACATGCGGATGCGTTTTAGCGGACGCCCACGACGACGCTGTGAGCGCATTGACACCAGCCAACTGACAAAGCCAGCTGCTCTGAATGCCTATCAAAGTACGCTGTCAAGCGAGTTGAGTAAGTGCTCACTGGGTTCAATTGATGGTCACTGGTCACATGTTCACCGGACCTTACTAGCATCGGGCAAATCCTCATGTGATATGTCTGATAGCCAACACGGTTATTGGGTCTCTTCGCAGTCTCTGGAATTTATCGATGCTCGCCGGCATATCCCGGTTGGGAGCGATCACAATGAAACTCGCAAAGAGCTACGGGCAAGACTTCGTGCTAGCCTGAAGAGAGACCGCGAATCCTGGTGGTCTCATCGTGCGTCAGAGATGGAAGTGGCTGCTGCCCTTGGCAACCATCGTAAGTTATTCCGTCTGATACGGGAAACGGGCAACAGGAGACCTGGTGTTAGTGAAACTATACGTGACGTGAGTGGACAGCCTATCCACAATTTGCCAAAGGGCTTGGGGCATTGGGCTGAGCATTTCTAAAAGCAATGTAATCGGCTAGAATTGTTCGATACTTCGCCAGCCAGTGATGGCCCTGCTCCGTGGGCTGTCCCTTTGGATCCAACCTCTCGCTCAGAAGTCGAACGTGAGATCGGACTGTTGAAGTTGAACAAAGCCGCAGGACCAGATGATCTTAATCCAGCCCTCTTCAAATTCGTAGGCTCTGCTCTTATTGATGCTTTACATGAATTACTAGTGAAACTGTGGAAGCAAGAGACTGTCCCAACCGACTGGAGCCGCTCCGTTATTGTTCCCATCTTCAAAGGAGGATCGCGTTCGGAATGCGGCAGCCATAGAAGAATCAGTCTGATCTCCATCGCCTCTAAATTACTTGCCTCCATAATTCTTCACAGAAGAACTGGCGCTCGTGAAAGCCAGATTCGTGAGGAGCAAGTCGGATTTCATCGGAGTCGTGGCTACATCGAAAACATCTTTATCTTGCGTCAGTTGTTGGAGCACCGTTACACATATTGGCGGCCCACCGTAGTCGTGTTCCTCGGCATCAAAGGTGCCTTCGATTCAGTTGATCGATGTGCCCTTTGGAATTGTCTCCTCAGGAAAAGTGTGCCCGAGAAATATATAAATATTATCCGAGCATTATACACTCGTAGCACGGGCAGAGTGAGGGCTTACGGCAAGCTGTCATCGCCCTTCAATATCTCCAGCGGTGTGAGACATGGATATCCGTTGTCACCTTTCCTCTTCAACTTCGCTATTGACGAAGTCATGGAGTTTGCATTTGCAGGGCATGACTTGGAAAGTGTGGAGCTGCTCCCAGGAGAACGACTTCTCGACTCGGAGCATGCACACGACATTGCCCTTATCTGTGACAGCTCCCAGACGTGCCATGCAGCGCTGGACAGATTAGCACTGACTGCCAGCCGCTTCCAGCATTGCTTTGCACCATCTAAATGCAAAGCGTTCTTCCAAGATTGGCAAGGATCGCCTCCTGCGCTGACCCTTGGTGGGGATCAGCTAGAAGTCGTTCGGAAATCCAACTATCTGGGAAGTTGTATCAGAGCCCTTAGGATCGAAGATGAGATCACGAACCGTATAACAAAAGCTCGAAGTGCTTTTGCTAGTCTTTGTCACCTATGGCGTCGGCGAGATATTAGTCTCGCTTTGAAGGGTAGAGTGTACAATGCAGCGGTACGTTTGACCTTACTGTACGGTTGCGAAACCTAGCCCCTAAGATCGGAGGATATGATGAGGCTAGTTACGTTCGACCATCGGTGCCTTCGCAGTTTGGCTCACATCTGGTGGGAACACCGCGTAAGCAACGAGCGTGTTCGACGCCTTGTTTACGGCATAGGAAGAGGAAATGAACCACTCAGCACCGTCATTTCACGCACCAGGCTCCGATGGCTGGGCCACGTGTTGCGCATGCCAGCCCATCGACTTCCACGACGTGCATTGTTCGCTCACCAAGAATGTGGAAGAAGAGGAGGGGGGCCAAGCGATGACTTGGTCGAGAGAAATGAAGGCCCTCACTTCTGTGCTGACCTCGGTTGGAGCGTCACGGCTACCTGGTTGGGGTCCAAAAGACGGTGTACACGTTCGGCTGGATACACTTGCTGATATGGCTAGGAGCCGACCTCAGTGGCGTTCGTGCTGTGAGTTTCTTTGTCCCTCCTTATCCCTTTTAGCCTCCCTTCCACCCACGATCACATTTCTTAGCGTAAAACATAATACTTTTTCTTTTTGCCTAGTAGCCGGCTGGTAGGTTACCGAAACCATGCCTATCCGTTGCTGGTAGCTCACCCGGCACGCAACTTTTGTATTTATTTTCCTTTTTTGTTTATGTATTGCGGCACAGTAGCTGAGGTGTTTCCCACCTCTAGATGACGTGTCTAATGATGGTGATGATGATGGAGGGGTGATGCCCAAAGGCTGTTGGATGGTCTTTTGATACAGAGCTGAAGCACTTGCAGCACGTTATTTGTCGGACGTGAGTCGTCTTGTTCGAGCACTCGTTGGGGGACCACGCATGACAATGGATGAGCAACCTCTGTCGTGACTGGCGGAAGCTCTACAGCTGGTCGTACCAGTTGCGGGTATTCAGACAGTAGGTTCACATAATCTGAAAGTACGTCAGCGATTCGGAAAACTGGACTGATTATCGGGGCGTCCGTAAAAATGCCTGCAATCTCTAGTTTAGTACAGTCGTCTAGAAGTCTGTGGCGGCCATGATCAAAAAGCAACCCAAAATGTCCGAGGAAGTCCATACCGATAATTTCGAAGATAAAAGAGGCAACCATTATGACCCACTGAAATTCTCGGCGGAGATTCATGTCCAGGTTCATCATACACCGACCGAAGGAAGCTATCGGAGAACCTTTGGCAGTACGCAGATTGTACGTAGGCTCTGAGTGCTTATAGTTTGCATTCGCTGGAATGAGGCTGACTTCCGCTTCCGTGTCGATGAGGAACATGATGGAAGAACGTTGATAATTAACGTAAACCAGGCGGTTTGCTTGGTTATTGACGGATACGTTGGTCGTGCTAGTATATGGGCTATTCGCTTTCCCTGAAGCGGCTGAGTCGTGCCTAATGCAAGGAGCCCGACAACGTCTAGCTCTTCCACCATCTTGGCGGTGATACCAATATAATTCTTTGACGGAACTACTATTGTCGGACTGAAAACGTGCTGAGAAAATGCTGCTCTTTTTCGTCGAACGAAACGTACTCGGTGCAGATACAGATGAGCTGCAATGAACGGTAGTCAATACCTGGTCTGCGTCTGACCGTGGCATACGCCGCTTCGAAGCCCTCATTGCTACTAACCTGCAGCGAAATAGCACAATTTCCTTGTCTTTAGGGTCAGATCAGCCTGACGACTTGAAGCAAAGATGAGAGTAGGTTTTCACTGGTGAGAATACGTAACCGGAGCTACTGGTCGTCAGCTGTGGAAAACGTTCGAAGCCAGAGTCTGCCTTGGCAGCTAGTTCTTTCAGGGGCGCATCCAGAAACATGGAAAGCATTACCAGCAATCGCTCTGGGAGACGTGCAAACCACAGTTCCTCTATCCCATCTTCACTCAAGAATAAGGGACCAGCGATGCGCTGAACTTCGCGGAGCAACGCTGATGGCTTGCGATCTCCCAGCTTGAGACCACTGAACTGTTCAAATCAAGCTCAAAAGCTGTGCTGTAACGCTATTAGCATCGCAGAGCAGAGAGCATGGGCAGAGTAGAATGTCCTCAACCAGCGCCAGAACCGAAGAAGGAAGGTGTGCGACGATCTGATTGTGCCCCGGGCGGACGAATATCGCAAACGAAGCATCTAGGTTTTGTTCCGGGAAAGTTGGAACAATCAAAGTCAGCATGTTTACGCTTTGAAACGACTCAGATGCCACTTTCGATATGGGAATGGAAATAACAAGGCTGAAAATCGAGCAATCTGGTAAAATTACGCAAAAAACAAATGAATACACGTGTATGAATAATGAACAATGAATAATGCTTTATAACGAGTAAAAACGCAGGGGCTTGACATGTCCTGTAGGGTGATTAGAGTGAGAAAAGATACATAAAGGGATAATGGAATCGTCGGTTTGGGCGATTACAGATTTAATTGCACTGTTGGATAAATGGAGTTTGAACTTAGAAGATGTGCACACAAAATGATAAGGGGAGTGGTTATTGATCACGTAGTAAGCGAAAAAAACAAAAATGTAGCAAGTACGACGCTTACTCATATGCAGCTATCTCGGGTCGACGGGATACAGAAATCCCGCTTCTACAGTAGTGGTGTTTAGCAAACTGTGTGCGAGGGGTTTGGAGCAACTCATTCTCGAGTAGGTTTATGGCACCGTCCACTGTCTGTTGTGCATTAGTGCCAGCGTCTGGTGGTCATGGGCTATAGCACGTTGTGTAAATGTGACAGAAAAAGGAAGGAACTCACTAGAAAATGCAAATGCAAAAAACGTTTAAATGCGCGTGTGCTAATCTGGGTCACCAATCTGTAGGACTAGTAAATACCAGTCCGAGACGTTGCGCTAAAGTAGGCGCGGACATCAGAACGCAATTGGAGTCGGACACAGCGGGCTGTATTCGATGGGTTACAAGAAGCAGCTAACGGATGAAGCGAGACAGGAGGAACACGTTAGCGCGGGGAACTTATAAGACGGTCGAGTGTCCAGCGTGATGTAGGTCAACATGTACGCAATGTAAAGGAGATTAAAACGAGAAAGAATTGTGTACACTTGGTCAACAGTTAACTTGTACACAAAATAATAGTTATCTTTTGGGGCGCTACAGTATGTACCGCGTTTGCGCCAACGTTCGGGCCTTACATGGCAGATGTATAAAGCGGAAGCTTTGCGTGAAACTTTCAAGTAGTGAGTATATGACTTTACTTTCATCCCCAGAGTCTGCGTGACCAAAATTAACTTGTGACGTAATGAAGCCATTTGAGAACATCATCTTCTCTTTGTAGAACTAGACCGGAATGTGCTCGCGAATCGTCTGAGATAAACGCCTTGTAGTGCGACCCACATATCGTGCATCACAGGAGCACGAGTACTCAGAACAGAGCATGGAACAGGTCGACGACGGTAGCCTAGTCTTCAAGGGTTTCGCAAGCAACTGCTTGTTGTATTAAACAATTCTCAATCGGAGAGTGAAATAATTCTTCTCAACAGCATTTTTAAGTGTCGGGATAGGGTATCAGCAGCAGAATCGACCTTAACTGACAAGGGTATGAACAGCTAATTTTACTAGCACTGCACTTAGGTAGTTTGCGTTTATGTTCTCTCCGATGCTTAGAGATAAATTGGTCTGGTTAAGCATTCCGTCTCAAGGCCTCGCGGATTCACTGTAATCCTTCGTTCAGGATATCCGGTGTGTCAATACTGCGCGCCCTGAATGCAAGAGAGATCGGGCAAAAATTCTCTTATACTGCAGGGACACTGCACTGTGGAATTGCGTGTATTACCCTGTTCATGTACGCATTCGGTACACTTTACTGTTAATCAGTCTATTGGAGTTACAGCGAATGTATGCATACAGAATGGGTAGTCGCTCATATGTGTTCATATGTGCTCATATGTGAAGTTGGGGTTTTTTATGCGCGCCGTTAAAAGCTTGCCATAACCGCCGCTAGCTTTTCCGATTTACAAAATACTGTAGTGCCATCCACATAACGTACATACATTTCGGTCTCATCGATATGCGTACTAAATGGGTTACGCTCTAATTCGAAACCCCGTGGGTTTATCACCGTTGATTTAGATCCCGGACATTTTCGGAGTGTTGAGTGACAGCCTGGTCCTTGACAGAACTTAAAACGCAATCAGGATCGCCATAGACACTCCGACCAAAACGCTCGAATCAAATTGAACCAGAATGGCACAAATTGGGCAATTGTAATTGGTGCCGTTTTCTAGTTACGTTTGTCAACTAGATAGGTCATCTTCGGATCATACTTGATGAATCGATTCGACAAGAAACATAGTCCATTTTTCAATAAAGGTACGGATCAATTTATGAATTGTCAGCCTAAAATAAATTCAGATTGGCGGATGTTGTAAGTCTGTTTGTGGCACAGTAAATTAGTTTAGCGCCACGCTGAGAAATGCCTGCAGAACCATTCTCCCGCATACCACAGGATAATTAAATACCAGTAATCGAGTATCAATAAGAGAACGTTAATGAAATCAAGTCCAGATTATTATATTTGTGGGCGCTTCTGTAAAACGTGAACGGATGGGATGAGCAAGTGTTAATCTCAGCACAGTTTTCACGGAGGAGCTAAGCGACGAACCGTATCTAACAGAGTGTGGATTTTTGGGAGAAATGAAAGAAGCGTAAACCAGGTACATTATAACAAGCATAAATACGCATCACAGAGAGAAGTAAACCATTTTGTCACCGGAACACTTTACTGATGTTTATTATTCATTGTCCTGATTGCTAATTTTCCTATCCCGTTGACATGAAACTATATGCAGGGTGAATAAAAGTACGACCACTTGGTGCTTTTGGGAGATGCAACAGCTCAAACAAATTACATGGTTAAAGATTCGAATGTCGCCCAGACTAGATCAGCCAAATTTTCCCACTATTTTTGTCTCCGATCACAGCCATGATTTGCCGCTGAGATAAGTAGGCGTTTATTTCAGAGAGCCAAACAATTGTCTGATTTTCAGACTACACTCACAAGCTTTATATTACGCAATTGATAGATAGTTTCGTAGACTTCATCAAATACCTACCGATGTGGTGCGTACCAACAATGACGGTTCCAGGAATAGCAAGAATAAATAACATTTTAACAGCGAATGACGCTACTGTACTCATGGATGCATCCATAAGGATCGACTGGAACAGTAAAGTACACGATTGACCAAAACTCCATCTCTATATGGATGCCGAACAATGCATACTAAGATTTTTCCACTTATGCGAAATAAACAATCTGTTTAAGAGCTAGGTACAGTCGAAGAGTGCCATCCTGATGATCCCTAATTCTTTTAAATACCGGCTTCATGTGCTTTCGTAGTTGGCGTGTGTTTAGACTTCACAGGCAATCTGCAGCTCGGAAAATGATGGTAACATACCTCGCCTGCGCAACTGTCTAAAGAGACCAGTAATTCTCATTTTTGATGCGCATTTGAACGCAGCACCATGGACGCCATCGAAAGCCTCATATGAACATGAAGTACGTGTGCGGAAAATACTTCGCGACTTGAACAGTGTTCACATTGTATCCTTAGTCCGTGCATCTAAGCACAGATTAGTTAGATTAATTAGCTTGGCTGCTTTATGCGACATAGGTACCATCCTCAGTTGCTTATCAAATCCAACGAAACGCGATGCTAGGTAAGCCTTTGTGATTTACCTACCTGACGGATATAGCTGGTAGAACGGTATTAGTTGCAGTATGTGCAATCAAAGCCATTGGTTTACAAATCCAGTAAATTCGAATGTTGGACACCGCTTGGAAATCCTAATAAATTGCAGTTACATTACTTTTATAATTAGACCCATGGTTAAAAGGATGGTTAGGTATCGGGTGGCACACGATCACGCAACGCCTTCAACGAATTCAACAAATAATCGCTGTACACGAGCGCACTTGAGTGGGCTGTATCTAGATCTAAAAATAGTCTGTGGTTATTGTTGTATCCCAATACGCACACTAGGCCTCTGCGCAAGCAGGGTTTTGAAACACTATGGGCGGAGCCCACTCAAGAAAACAGAACACGGAGCGGACACGCTCTGAACACTCTATTCACCCAAGTGGGTCATGTAAGGTACAAGCGTAGTTACTTTGATATTGATGTATCGATGACGCTCATCCAATCATTTGCAGGCTACCATGTGTGACAGACATGACTAGAACTTGAGATAGGTGCTACCACATCACCTCCCTAAGAGAGCATGAGTGACAATTGAGCTGTTAGACCCCTGCGTTCGACCTCGTTTCCGGATATTGACTCGCCGTTCGGTTAAATGGCTGAGGAAAGCTGTCTGGCGTTAACATGGCGGCCGTCTGCAAGCTCGTACCTTCCTGATACTAAAGGGTGGTATATAGTTCTTCTACCGACTGTAGCTACCAAATTACGCAAAAGCGGGCGAACTAAATGCTGAAATGCTGTTACGTAGCCTTGTTAACCTAGAACAACTTTAAATAGTGTGAGGAACTATTTGATTTTTGCAATCATCGACGCTGCTTTGCCGAACGGTTTTTCAGCTAACATATAAGCGGCGCGCATAACCCGAATATAACCTGTGATATCGTGCCGGATTATC